GGGAGTCGTTGGGAGGGACGAAGGGGCTAGAGGTGACTGTTCTTATTAATATTGTCCACGCCCCTTTGTTTTTCGGTGGTAATTACGGCTGTCTGTGTAGTAAGCACAGAGAAGAATAGCAGTTGGGCTCAATGGCGTTTCGTAGAAAGGCCGAGGCTGGGGGGAGAAAAAAGACTGGGCTCGTCCGGGATTTGAACCCGGGACCTCTCGCACCCTAAGCGAGAATCATACCCCTAGACCAACGAGCCGCCGTGAAAGGGTATTTCTCTCCGTTGCAGAGGAAGCTGAGTTCGGTGCCGCCCCTGCCCCCGTGCAGTGACCGTTAACGGCCGGCCGCCGCGGCTCGCCCCTTCGCTCGGCGAAGACAGGGCAGGACTCGGAGCGTGCCGTCGTTTGTAGCAGAAATAGCGCTTAGGTGTGCACCGAGTTACAAAGGATTTTTTGCTAGGCCTGATGAACGTTTTTTTTTTTTTTTTCTCCCTGCAGTCGTGCGTCACCGCTCGTAATAGAGGGGAAAGAGAAGCTGCTTGACAACAACTTTACAGAAATGCCAGTTAGTAAAGGGGCACTGTGCTTTGCGATAGCCGAGGATTTGTTAACTCCCTTCCGGCCGGGAGCTTGAGTCTTTGCCTCAGTCTGGAGCAATGGAGGCCGAAGTTGCACTCACTCTGCTTGGGAAGGCCTAACCCTCGCGCCTTCCCTCCCCCTGTCTCCCGAGGCAGCGCAGGGCTGTGATGGGGTAAGTGTGACAGACAGCTGGACAACTACAAATCACAGCAGTCTAACCAACTACCCCACCGGCTCAGCAGTCTCGCTCCTGTGGCGGGTGGCCCATGCAGGAGAGATCAAGGATCACAGACTACAGCCTTCCACAGCCTGTCCTACTTTTTTGCAGTCAATGCTCCATGTTATTCATGAAGTACGTGCGCTGTTACTGTGCGTGCTGTTGCTCTTGAGCTTTCTTCCATTCACTGTTGCTAACCTATCTAACCCTGTGTGTAAAATCTGCTAAAAATATGTCTAGCCATTAACCACAGCAGTCAAACCACAAACCCCAATCAAAGGAAGACAAAAATAATTGTTCATTTCCATAATTTAAAACTGTACCACACCTAAGGAGTGCTTAACATTATTGTCCTGCTTTACCACTTGTGACATTTTTATGTAGACTTACTTAAGTATCAGTTTTCTTAAAACAGATACTGATGCTGGTTAGGCTACAGTTCAGTCCTACCTCTGCCTATTGTCTCTGTACAGTACCAGCCTGTGAATAAGTTTGTTTCTATGCTAAGAAACTGGTGAGAGGGTAGGAGGGCTAGACAGGAAAAACAATTGCTTTCATTTTATGGAGTTTTCTACATCAAGGTTATCAAGAATGTTTGCGGCTCAAGTTGTTCCTTAGCATCAATTCAGCACTGGAATGCCTACTCATTAGTATCTTTTTTCATTGTAAGCTTTCCTCAGAATACTTCTCCTTGAATAGTGGGTAATCCAAGCCATTCTTCCTAAACTAATTACAGAAGACAAATACTCACAGAACTTTTCATACTATATGTAATTACTATGCTGCCAGCTCTTGATTTTGAAAGAACCACTGCATTTCCATTTAACGAGAGTAAATATAAATGTAGCACTAGCTGCTGGTCACAATTTCTTCCCAACTTGCAGAAGAAAAATTAGTCTTGCAAGAGACACACAATACTTTCTTTAAAAAATAGAGCCTCTCTAAGAGACGTACAATGCTTTCTTTAAAAAATAGAGCCTCTCTGTTTTCCTTCTCGCTCATTTTGCTCTTCTCTTATTGTTTCAAAATGAGCACGTTGGGAGGTTCCCCCCCCCAGGAATGCATATCTATGCACAGCTGTTCAACAACATGTTCTACTGTACAATTCCTTTAGGAGCGCTCGCTTTGTAACTATGTCTCAGAACATGTAATTTTAAATTCATATAATCTTGGACCTGAAAATTAGAGCAAGAGACTTTTCAGCATCAAAACAAAAAAGATTTTGTCTCAGCTCCTTGTAAAAAATAATGAAGTAAAGAGATGTAGTTTAAAATAGAAAACAATTGAAAACATTAAAACCAATCTGAATATATTTACCTCTTCTCCTAGAATATGTTATTCTGTTAGCATTTTGACATCACAGTCCTACTTGCTCTCTGGTGGGCTAGCAGAGAGCCCTCTGAAAAAGCATGGTAAGGAAGGTATGAATTTCTAACATAAGAAGCAAACATGGAAAAATTGATTTAACCTCCTCCACAATTACACCTTTTTTTTTTAGATTTTTCTTTTGTGATAAACAGAAGCAAAAAAGAACACAAAAGCATTTCTTCTTCTCTTGTGGAACTGAATGCTGATTTTGCTGCCTGTGTAAGAAAGTTTGGAAACCAGTTAGGCAACTTTATAGCAGCCTGCAGGGAGGCTGCTGTGGTCCCTGTCACCCCTCTGTCTGAGCAGTCATGTTCTGTCACTGTTCCTTGTCTGACCTTAAGGGGAACGGGTTCAGCTGGAAGAAAAATAACTCCCCACCACTGCACACTCACACAGAAGAGATGAGTTTACTGCCAGCTAAATGAGCTGAATTACCGAGAAATCTGGTAAGTATCAGTATTACCACTAGGCAGAAGGTGGAATTGCACAGCTAGGGGGAAAGAGGCCCTCAGGACAAATTAAGAACTGTGTTCCAGAGCTTCCCTTCCTGTTCTGAAAATAGCAGAAGATACTAATTCAATCATTACCATCTGAAGAAAAAACTGATCTACGGTATCTCTCACCTATTCTCTGTATTGAACAGCAGTACTCTTACACAGTGAATTAGCCATCTGGAGGGCTATACCTGTGACAACCTTATCTCAGCTCTATCAGGAAAGGGAGAAAATGTGGAATTCCTCTGACAAAGGGACACCTTGATTGAATCAAGGTTATTAGCATATAAAAAGAGAAGGCATGAGTGGTGTTGAATGATCAGAATGTAAATAGTGAACCTTGGGTAGTGATGTTCCATCTTCCATGTTAGAGTACTTTTGGTCACTGAGCAGAGCTAGCCGGATGGCTAAAGTTCCCATAGAAAAGAAGAGCTCTGAGGGAGTACTGAAGCAAAAGAGTTTAAGGTGAAAGGCTTATTACTCCGTATCAGTTTCCACTCCATTTGGAAAGTGCGGATTTTGATAAGTTAGCTAAAGTCTCATCTACAAGGGAAGTCAGAGGTACTAAAAATGAGCTGGCAGCCAAACAGGGCAAGAATTCCCCATGATACAAAGAACTGCCTTTGTTGACCTTTATTCTCAAATGCTCTCCCTGGTAGCCGGGGCTTCTAGAAAACATGTGCGGTGCTTAGCTGATGAGCGTGTTCCAGAGCTTCCCCTGAGGGCGTAAATAATGAATGCATAAACCATTGCATTTCAAATCACACAAGAGCTGTGAGCGTGGTATCTTGCATGAGAGTAGGAAAAAAACATTTGTCGGTGTTTTGCAGTTTGGGGTCTATCATCCTTGGGATTTGCTTCATCATGGCTCACGTGGCACACTGTAGCAGGGCTCGCCTGTGGTCTCTTTCATATACAGGCATGATTAGGTGGTGCACGGTAGCATAGCTGTATTTGTTATGTATGGTCAGAGAAGGGCAGAGAAACTGGTAGTCCATGTATGTGAGAGAGGACTAGCTATAGTGGAGCATAGGACTGGAGCTAGCTGCATATATTTTAGGCCTGTGAAGTCTCATGCAGTGAGCAATAGTCTTGTGATATGACTAAGCTTGTGCAGCTTCATTAAAATACATAGCTAAGTAAAAAAAGAAACATACACAATGAGGTTCCCAAAACGGAGGGAGTAAAACAAGGAGATAAAGAAAGAAGGGTAGAAGTGTGGTCTCGGGTCTGTAACAGCAGTGAGTCTGTTGGGGGGGAAATTCCAATTAGCTATTTTCAGGCAAAAGGCAAGCCTAGTTATACTATCAGCATGGCAGGAAAGTTTCTAAAGGAGTCTGTACTTAGAGTAAACATACTAAAACAGGCTCTCCAAGCCAATAGGGAAGAACAACAATGATTTTACTGGAGGCAGGAGGAACCCACCCTCTTCTCTGATTACACTCTGCAGCAGTGCTCTCCCTCTTCCTCACTGGCTTGGAAAAAGCACTTGGATGTGCGCTTGTTAGCAGATACTGTAACATGTATACAGGGGAACTTGCTTGCCAGTGACTGCAGAGATTGGGGACACCAAACGAATGCTGCAGCATAGTCTGAACAACTGGGCCTGCTAATGCATTACAAGAGATTTAAACAGCGCAGACTATCTGAGAAGTGACAATGTGCTGTGATCAAGCTAAATTATGTTTCAGTCCTCTTATGTCAGGAAAGTGCTATTTTTTCCAATAAACGACACACAAATCTAGTTTAGATCTTGACTGACAAACAAAACTGTGTTTGCATGGTCGTCTGTTATTTCACGTATTTTTTAACGTAGAAGATCATTAGTGCATCTCCAAAGATACTCAGTTAAGCTTTTAACTAGAAGGTTAACTCTTGAGTAGCGCTAAGGCATGGGCTTGTGGCGTTTGACTTTGTGCCACCTCCTTTCATCCCAAAAAGCAGAAGCTACAGGTTGGACATCACTGGGGATATGTTGGTGATGGCAGCATATCTGGTGGTACCACGTGCAGGCTAGCGGCACGACAGCAACGACCCAAGTCAGGAGGTAGCCATACGGGTGGGGTGGGTGGCAGAGGCTACAGGGAAGGTAGGTGGACGGTCCAACAAGCCGGCAGGCGCGTGACAGCCGCATGAATTGCAGTGGGCGAGCACGGGCTTGTCCTGCTGCCTGGAGAGGGGTGATGCGGCGCTTGGGGAAGGTAGGCAGCAGGAGGGCATCGCCCAACCTGTAGATCCCGTCCCGAAAAACGTAAGGCCGGTGCAGCTGCGAGACGAGAAGTAACTGCGTGCCTGTTTCGTGCCGCGGCGTGGACTAACCGATTTTTC